AAATTGTATTGTAAAATAGTTTGAATATAAAACTTAATTGAAAATTTTGTAAAGTTTATGGGGTTAAAGTATAATTTTTCACAACTACATGTGCCATATAATTGGTGCCATGTAAGCATGTCATGGGATTCCGTTAAAAAAAACTAACTGCTGTTTATTGGATAGATGAATTTAAAATGATTTTCAAAGGTTGTAGATGATTTTGAAAGAAACTAAACTTTCTAGATTAAAATAAAAAGAAAGTAATAGTTAATAGATAAAAATTAAATTTAACCTGGCAAAATTTGTAAATTTTTTTTTGACTCTGCACCTGAACAAGAGCCAACAACTATAAATCAAGTTAAAAGGTGTATCTTTTAAGTTAAGAGTTGAGTTTCAAATTTTCTTACTTTCAACATAAATTTGTTTAAAAAAATTGTAATTTTGGCTGGATATAGGCATTATATTCTTTCCATAAATATCTCTAATCAATAAAAAAATAAAAATTTTGTCACTAGGAACCTGGCCCTGTGGGCCAAGTGGCTTTTAGCCACTATTGTAAGGTTCATTTCCCCCTCCCCTTGGGCAACGGTTCGAGTCCATCCCATGACAAAATGTTAAAAAAATAATAATAATATTGGCACCAGAGCTGGTTTTATGGGTATTCTTTATTGCGGAATTAAGTAGCCAACAACTTCACATGGTAAAATTACTTCAGGTTTGACTTTTATGAATTTATAATTGAGTTAGCATTTAGAGGTTTTTCCTTTCTTCTAATGTGTTGCTGTACCAACAACCAATGACTGTCTTAAGTCATAATTCCCTGGGTCAAGGCCAACCCTTCACGCAGGGACGGAGCCAGGGGGCTGCAAGGGGGGCGCTCGCCCCTGCTAGACTTTTGAAAAAAATTAAATAGGTCCTATACTTTAAAAAAAATTAAATAAACCTTTTTTTTTAATAAAATGATATGTTCTAATTTTTTTTATAGATCTTATAATAAATTACTAGCTAAAATAAGTTTAACAAAATATTTTTATTTATTTGACATGCTTGTCATTGTAATATATACATAATTAATGCTTATTTGTATTAAATAACAAGATAAATTTGATTTAAAATCAATATTATAAATTCTTTAAAATATTTAGTTTTTTTCTTTAGATCATATTAAGTAATATTTTATAATAGAAGTTGTTTAGATTGAAATTTAAATACACATAAATTTTAACAAAATTTTTCACATTTAAGGTCTTTAAAATTTTAGTTTTCATATATTTAAATCTTAATTTTATTTATTTATTATAAGTCAAAACATTCATTTTTAACGTGCACATTTCAAATAGCACCTGACCTCCCCCTAAGATTACTTTCTGGCTCCGTTCCTGCCTCCACGGCAAAGCTCTAGACCAAGGCCACAATACTAAAGCTCAAAGTCTTCCCAGCTAGAATCAAACAAGAAGAAAATAAATATGGCTTCGTTGTTAGAGAGTGATCGTCAATGCTAATATTAATCAAAGTCGACGGAATTAAAAAAAAATAATAATAAATAAATTACACGGAGGACTCCACGTTCCCAATCCCCACGTCAAATGATCCAAAAGCACGCCAAGTCACGACTTTGAAGATCCACCTTAAATGAACCAAGGGAGATACTTGATAAACATCTTGCTTTTGACAAAGGTAAGCTTTGGCTCATTTAATTAAGTGATTGTCTATTTGTTGTCCACACATATTATAGTGATTTATTTTTAAATTCTTCACCAGTACTCCAGACTGGGAAGACAGACTTTTTTTTTTTTTTTTATACACTGAAGAATTAACTTATAAGGAATAAATCACCTGTGCTGCTTGTTCTTCCTCATATTTCTCCACAATGGAGGATATGAGAGATTCAACTGCAATGCCACAAATTGTGAAAATTGTGAGGATGTTTGTTAAGTTTCATCCGCTATTGACAGTTAGTCGTCTTATCTTTGGGGTTATATTTCTACAGGATTGGGTTGAAGATGAGCTGAGTAATCAATGGAAAATGCTCAAGGTTTATTGCCAATTAGCAATGAGAGCTTCGCTAGATCCGATTAATGAGAAGATGAAGAATCTATCTGAAGTCCTCCAAATGCATCTCAACAATGAAGCAACAAAGGGTTAGCTAAAGGCCAAGTTGGTCGGTAAGCTTGCCCTCTTCTTCGCCACATTTCTCTTGCTGGATACAAATTTTAATTCAAAATATGATAAAGTGGGGCCAAAACACTATTATTGTTGCATGTTGCCCTTGACTTGCTAAATCGTTCGAACGTTTGGAGTCAACTCAAAATTCTATGTGGAAGATCTAGTTGCATAACAAATTCAACATCAAACGTCACCTTCTTTATTCTAGCACTTGTTTTTTAAAGATTTTACGATAATTCATTAAGGAGCCTCATTGCTGTGCTGTGCATCGCAATTTTTCTTTTATGTGTACTAGTTGTATTATAGTTGCGGACAGACTTTGGGTTGTTTAGTTTCATCATTGGAGTCATTGTATCGATTACTTACAACCGGTTCAAGTTCATGTTTCCGTCATGGATAATTGCCTCCATTTGTTTTGTGCTGATTAGTTTCAAAAGCTGGTTAGATA